GCTGTCAGAGGGTCGGCCACGCGGGCGGTCAGAGGGTCGGCCACACAGGCGGTTAGAGGTGTGGCCACAGGGCTGGCCCCACAGGCGGTCAAAGGGTCGGCCACACGGGCTGTCAGGTCGGCCACACAGGCGCTCAGAGGGTCGGCCACACGGGCTGTCAGAGGGCCAGCCACACGGGCGGTCAGAGGGCCAGCCACACGGGCGGTCAGAGGGCCGGCCACACGGGCGGTCAGAGGGTCGGCCACACGGGCGGTCAGAGGGCGACGGCGCGGCGCCAGTTCTCTGGACCATTAAAGGGGTCTGAGGGCGACGGCGCGGCGCCAGTTCTCTGGACCATTAAAGCGGTCACAGTCAACTACTGTGTCCGGCCATGCAACACAAGAGAGAACGTGGCAGGAGCAGCCATACAGACGTGCAGAAGACATGAGTGACGGTCCGCAAGGCAACAAATCACACGATAATGAGCGAGATCATAAATTCGGCGGTTCAACGAACTTCGGGTGAAGGATTGTCATCCAAAATCTTGTGATATTATTTTGACCTGTTAAGCATTTTTGCGCTAGTATGAGCCTGCAAAGCAAGCGGATTTTGTTTATCACCGTGCATGGACCGCCTCAGAGAAGGGTTACAGGGTGCGGCGTAAAGGTATACCCATATATTTGTCAATCTGTCAAAAAGGTAAAAGAGATAGGCCATCTTTTCCGGCACATGTATATGTCACATTCTTCTCGTGTTTGTTTTTTGTTTTTAAGAGCTACGTTTCGATATGACCGCCTTTTGCGCGGATCACAGCCTTCAGACGTGACGTGACTGATGCACAGGAGTGCCGCACCACTTCTTCATCCGGACTGGGCCAGGCCGTGGCCAGAGCGGCCTTCAGACGTGACGTGACTGATGCACAGGAGTGCCGCACCACTTCTTCATCCGGACTGGGCCAGGCCGCGGCCAGAGCGGCCTTCAGACGTGACGTGACTGATGCACTGGAGTGCCGCACCGCTTCTTCATCCGGATTGGGCCCGGCTGTGGCCAGAGCGGCCTTCAGACGTGACGTGACTGATGCACGGAGGTGCCGCACCCGCTTCTTCAATCCAGATTGGGCCGGGGCTTGGCCAGAGCGGCCTTCAGAGCCGGGAGGCTGCTGTAGGACGCCTTCGAGGCATCGCTCTCAAGGATAGACCACATTGCGAAGTCCATCGCGTTCAGGTCTGGGCTGGAAGGAGCCACTAGCTTCTGGTCCCAAAAACCGATGAAATGGTCTTTGTGCCACGTCTGGGAAGACATTCGAAGTGTGAGCAGTGGACCATCTTGGTGACGATGTGGTGGTCGCCTAATGTTTCTCTGACTCACGGGAGCACGCCATCTTCCAGCATTTTCAGGGTACACACCACTGTTGGACCTTCACTCCTTCTTCGATGAACACCGGGAGGGAGACTTGGTGCATCAGACACCACGGCAGCCCCACACCATGAAGATTGCAGGCTTCTGGCGGCGAAAATGCACCCGGCTGCCTTCAGGAAGGTCACGTGGGTTCGCAGCATAGACTCTGTCATTCCTGGGAGTTGGTCACGGGCCTGGACAGTGGAAGATTTTTGCATCCGACCAGATGACAGCTCGATCACTGGCCGCCCCATTTCCTCCAACGTCTTCTTTGCCCTGTGCGACGTTTTTTTCCTTTGAGGCTGCTGAAATTGAGGTGTCGGCGTTGCATTTTGGTACGTCTTAAGTCCCCAGATCCTCTTTCACGACCCCGCCTTCACCGACCTTTCTTTGACATGTGAAGGGTATCCGTTGCAACCTCTTCTTGACGGCCTGCACGTCCGCCTTTGGAGGGAGCAGATCGCTGCAGCCAGGAATGGCCTCGCTGACAGTCGCACCAGTCTTGGTGGTACCGCTTCATCACGTTACACAACGGTTTTTTCCGCAGTTTTTTGAGCTGCCTCCATGACCTTTTTGTCACTGACGCCAGCACTTTTTTAAAGCCCCGATTTTGTCACGCACGCACTTTCGACTGATGTTCGGGGTTTAATGTTGAGTTCTTGACTAAATCACAAAAAAGAGAGAAGAACACATGTAAGGGAGCATGCTAACCACGTCAAATAACATTCTGATGAAAAATAAGCACGCTTACAATGTTTTTGGGATGGGTAAATCTTTACGCCGCACACTGTAGATCTTTTTTAGAGAAAATGACCCACAAATTGTTAAATACCGGCGTCGACAACAGTGCAAGTTGTGATACTAGTACGATGGCTTACAAACAATGCCACCAGGGGCGGGGCAGTTGGCACTGCCGAAGACGGCTGTCTGCCAGAGCGCCGCACGTTAAGAAAACAACTCGAGAATTCGAAACAACTAGAAAGAAATTACAGCTGGGGAGCAGAGCGGAGGGCAAGATGGAAACCGCACAGTAGCAAAAAGCCAGGCGCAAAAGACCCGCGAAACCCCCGCGCGCAGCCTATCGGAAAGATCTCCACTGCTCGCAACAGTGTGCCTGGACGTAGGCAAACGAAACGGAGCAGGACCGTACGGCCAGACGGTATGAAGGGAAGTGTTTGACAAGGGCGGTTTTTCAGTGTGATACAATCAGAATCCTACTCTGCCTGCTCTCCATGCCGCCGTGTTCAGTACGTAGTCCAGAACTGACCAAACATTCTCGCCAATACGCAATCGTCCAAAACCCTGATGCAGCCACCAAACGATTCATCAGATATAAAATCGTTCAAAAAACTCGATGTCGTCCCAAACATCCCCAAAAGGGATCAGTGAACACCTTCGGGCGACCCGACCCGTGGTCACGCGGCAGGCGCGTCATCAGAAACAAGCGACGCCAGCAGCCCTTCACGACTCGCCCTAAATCCCCCCCCCCCCCCCCCGCCCCCGTCAGAGAGCCAGCGGCGTTAGTCAGGGGAGCACCCGCGTGTGGCGCGTGGGCGGCGCGTCACGGCCGAGTTTAGCCAGCCGCCGCTGGGAGTCGAGGATCGCTTTCTCGGAGCGGTGAGGTGAGCACCCCGGCCGGCCAGACGGCGATGACGGCCCCCGTGTCCGGACAGCCTGCTCCTCCCCCGAGCGGCAGCCGTCCGGCCGGCTGGCAGCGGCGGCGGCGGCGGCGAGCGCCGACGGTTTCGGTTACGCCGCCCAAAATAGTCGTCGGCCGCCTGGAATCCGCCGGCGGCTGACTCAGTCGGCCCGGTGGCGGCACAGACGGCTGCAGCAGCGGCGGCGGCAGCGGCGTCCAGCGCAGAGCGCGCTCAGCGGCAGACGGCGCGACTCCGGCAGCAGGTGGCGCGCGGCAGTGCAGGGACGGGCGGCGGGACGGCGCGAGCGGCAGGCGGGTGGCGGCGGCGCTCAGACGACGGCGACGGCCGACACCTCTACTTCCCGTGGGTAGCGACGCCGCAGCACCGGCGCGGACCACACCGCGCCCACGGCAGTGGTCGGTGAACGGACGCCGTCCAGTGACCGACGGCAGTGACCGCGCCTTCCCGCAGGTGGGACTCTAGTTCGCCAGAGGGCGTCTTCTCGCACCCGACCACCCGACCACCCGACCTCGGTCGGCAGTCATGCAGCGCGGCGAGAGCTTCGAGAGCAGCTCGGAGACGGCGGCCGTGCAGACGGCGGGCGGCGGCGGCCAGTCGTCGGTGCAGCGGCAAGCGCGCCACGAGCAGCGCGGCGGCCCTGACGACGATCGCCGCGTCACCATGAGCGAGACCAGCCAGATCGAGTCGGAGGCGGCGCACGAGGCCGGCGTGCAGAGCGCCGCCTCACGCTCGGTGCAACAGCTGGAGCGGCACGAGGATGGCGTGCGCAGGCTGGGCGGCGGAGGCCTCGAACGCTCCCAGGAGGCCTACAGCAAAGTGAACGAGCACCAGGAGGCCGAATCGCGCCGCGCCGTGGCCGGCGGCGAGGAAGCCTCACAGTCGAGCTCCGTTAATAAGACGGAGACGCGTCAGTCGACGTCCGTAGCTGACCTGGGCGGCGGGGGCACGGCCCGCTCTAGCGTCACCAAGCGCAGCCAGGTCAGTGAGATCAGCGAGACCAGCCAGACGTCCAGCTCGACGGCGCGCCACGCCGACACGGCCGCGCCGCGCCGGCTGGCGGCCGGCCAGCGCAGCGCATCGCTCCAATCCGAAGACCTTCACACCCTCGGCACTGGCGCCCGACGTGGCGGCGCGGCGGCGGTGAAGGCACCGGCGGCAACGGAGCGCGAGGGCCGCGGCGGCATCCTGCGCGAGCTGGAGCGGCTGCTGGCCGACGAGGAGCGGTACGATCGCGCGCGGCGCGCCGTCAGACGCGACGACGGCGACTCACTTGGCCACCGCAGCGAGCAGATTCGCCAGGAGGTCGACAACCTCGTCGCCACATTCTTCGACCGCAAGCGCGACCGCAGCCACCGCGTCGGCGACGCCTTCTTCGACGATGCCTCGCGGCGCGCCGAGCGGCTGGTGCGCGAGTTCGCGCGTGACGACGACGACCCGTGGCGAGAGGAGGAGGAGCGCTGGCGGCGACAGCAGCAGGTGCGTCGCCGCGGCTCGGACGACTTCTTCGAGCGAGCCGTGCAGCGCGCGCAGACGCTGGTGAGTGAGATGCGGGACCGCAAGGAGAGCCGTCGCCAGGACGAGGAAGACATCTTCTCGCGCTACGGCGACCAGATCGACCAGTTCTTCGGCTCGGCGCGGCGGCGCGACGCGCCGTCCGCGCGCCGTGGCGGCGACCGCTTCCGCGACGCCAGCACCCTGGCCGACGACCTGGTGCGCGACTTCCTGTCGGATGACACGCGGGGCCGTGACGCCACCGACGCCTGGGGCCGGCAGCGGGAGCGCGCAGAATCAACGCACGTCGACATCGACGAGGTCATGTCGCAGGCGTCGACGGTGGGCGGACGGGGGCGGGAGGCGCGCAACACCTCGGGCGTCGACATCGAGGAGCTGTCGAGCTCAACGGCGGCCGACCGGAGCCGCGCCGCGTCCGGCCGGCAGCGGCCTGCCGCCGACTCAAGCCGCCTCGTCGACGACATCGTGCGCCAGTTCATCGCCGACGACTTCGACGACGAGGACACGTGGAAGGAGCGGCCGCGCGCCGCGCGCCGACAGACGAGCAACACGAGCACGCTGGACGAGCAGTGCAGCATACGCTCAGAGAGCCGCATGTCCGAGATGGAGGACGAGCTGCGACAGGCGCAGGCGCAGGTGGACGAGCAAAGGGCGGAGCGCCGCCAGGCTGAGCAGCGCCGACAGGCTGAGGAGCGAGCGGAAGAGCAGCGCCTGGCTGATGAAAGGGCTGCGGAGCGCGTTAAGGCTGAGAAGTGTGCTGAGGAGCGAATTCAGGCTGAGGAGCGCGTTCAGGCTGAAGAGCGACGTCAGGCTGAGAAGAGGGCTGAGGAGCGAATTCAGGCTGAGGAGCGCGCTCGGGCTGAAGAGCGGCGTCAGGCTGAGAAGAGGGCTGAGGAGCGAATTCAGGCTGAGGAGCGCGCTCAGGCTGAGGAGAAAGCTGAGCAGCGTATCCAGGCCGAGAAGCGGGCTGAGGAACGCCGACAGGCTGAGCTTCAGGCTGAGCAGCGAGCAGAGGAGCAGCGAATAGCCGAGGAGCGAGCGGAGAAACAGCGCCAGACGCAAGTAGAGGAAGCCCCACAGACTGACGAGCACCTGGTTTCCAGCCAGGAGGAGCGGTCACACGAGCGCCGCGACGTCACAGAGGCAGCACTCCCAGCAGCGCACTGTCGCCGAGGAGAGCGTCCAGGAGGAGCGCTCGTCCCGAGCAGAGCAGGCGTCAGAGACCGAGACGCGCTCCGAGCAGGAAGCGGCGTCCGGGGAGCGGCGCGCCGAGGACGAGGCTGACACGTCCGGCGGCGCGTTGCCGCCGCGCCGAGGACGAGGCTGACACGTCCGGCGGCGCGTTGCGCCGCGCCGAGGAGCTCCTGTTCGGCTTCGTGCCCGACTGGGAGCGCGAGGAGCAGCGCTGGTCACGCGTACGCACCGACCGCATCGCCGAGAACACCGGCGACAAGAAGGTGCACGACCTGCTGGCCGACTACAAGCCGCTGCGGCACGTGCGCGAGGGCGACGTGCGCGCCCAGCGCCAGCATGAGCGCAAGACAGAGGAGTACGAGAACCTGATGAGCGGCGACGTGTGGCGCAGCCTGCGCGACGAGAGTCGCTCCGGCGGCCGCGGCCGGCCCGCCGGCGCCGGCGCCGCCGCCGACTCGGTGCTTTCGGAGCTCCGCTCGGCGCGCCAGAGCACGGCCAGCTCGGCCAGCAGCGCGCGCTCACAGTTCAGCGCGCGCAAGGCCGAATCGCTGGGCGAGCGGCCGGCGCCGGCGTCGGCCGCCAGCTCGGCCAGCACGCGCCGCTCCAAGCTGGACGAGTTCAAGTCGTTCAAGGACGAGCTCTGGCACGAGAAGTAGCCCGCTGGTGGCACAATTTGGTTCGGGGGTTTGCGGCAGCGCGAGCCAGCAGGGTTCTGACCCGCTGAGAGGCCGGCGGCGCCCATGGCCCTGCGATGTGAGGACGTGTCGGGCCCGTTCCAGAGCTAAGGGCTCCTGGCTGCTGTGCCCGCGGGCGAGCTGGTAGCGCCAAGGTCATGAGCTGCGGCACAAATGTCGTACCGGCAGCACTAGTCTTCAGCCCCGCGGCGGTTTTGTATTGTTACGGCGGTTGGGGGCGCGCGCTAACATTTCTGGCCTCATGCTAACGCTCTTCTAGCCTCACGAGAGCACGGTGGATTTACGCGCATCGGGATTGAAAGAACGCAATCGTATTTCGCGACGCAACGAATGCTCGACGACTCGTGCCGATAGAGACTGAAGGAACGTGACCGAACTTCGCGATGCAATAAAGACAGTCTCCTTGTGAGATGGTCGGGTGGTTGGTGGGTGGACACTGAGCTGGGTGGACGCTGGGCGCCATGACGCGTCGCGTGCGCCACGTGTAGCGCGCACGCCACTGGCTTGTCTCCATTACGTTTGGTTTTACGTCAAATATTGCGGTCGCCCGTTTTCATACGGTGGGACGGTGTTTCGCTTCGCATCACACCAACATAAGCTCACATCTGCGGTGTGTATGAGCGGACCATCAAAACAATGGCATTTATAAACATTTACCCCAGATTTTGCATAGTCAGCAGTCGACTTCACTGCGGTTGTGTCTGAGACAGCAACCAAACATTCCCTGGGTAACCCCAGATATCGATTGTAAGTAGACACAAGCAGATGTATAGACATAAAACATAATATAGGTATATTGACATAAAATTAGCATGAGTATACAGACAAATCATTAACCTAAACCTGTACACAGCGGAAAAGCCCGCACACTTGTCCCTTTGCAAACAAACAAAAAAACAGCAGTGGATAGTTATCACACGTACCCACACCGCATAAAAAACGTTAGCCACCAATGTACGTACCGTGTGTCAGACATGCTTCGCTTCTTTAACCTACGCATATCCATGAGCGCACCTGAACCCATCGGAGCATCTGACTGTGATTATAATTCTTTTGCGTGCATCCACTGCAGGTCGTACAGCGCCCATAACTATCATTTTATGCAGGGCCGCAAATCAAGCAGGCATATCGAGCAAGGCCACCCTGTAAAGTCGTGATGTTCAGGCATGGTACCATGGTAAAAAGATGACTTGAAAATCTACAGCGCGAATAAGCTGAAACATTTCACCAGACCCCACAGCATGCGAATACTACCCTAAAAAGTAACAATTTCTCCTGACCTTACGCCGGCCCACTAAATGATATAGCGTACGACACAGGGCGTCGCGTCCGAAGAACTGCACTCTCGTCGTGTGGAGATGTATATCGCTCAACGACGGAGAGCTGCCTCAACCCTCGGAGCAGCCGAGCCGCTGGTGAGCCCCCCGTCGGCCCGAAGCTGTATATTTAACATCGTACCAAGCACTGACAGCCTGATTATTTCTCATTCAACGTAATATACCAACAAACAGTTCAACCTCCCACCGCCATGTACCAGTCTGGATGCAGGGACGTCGGCTTCACGCCAGCAACGTTTGCCGACAATAGTTTTCAACGTAATCAACGGCGGTAAACATTTCGCGGTAACGGCCCGGTCATCACGACGTCAGCTCAGGCAAGCCTCCCGTACCGCCGGTCCTGACGTCATGCTGGCTGGCCGCGCCGTGAAACCCCCCCCCCCCCCCCCCTCGCAACCCTGGTCCCGATGACCGCCGGTCGGGGCACACATCCTCACGGGTCTCCGTCCCAGAGAGGAGGCGGCAGACAGACCGGCTCACACAGTCGGCGTCAGCGGACGCTGCTGTCGTCCCGACTTCAACTGACGATCCCCGGAAGGGGCTCGACCCAGCACCAACTGAACTGACGATCCCCAGCCGGGCTCGACACAGCACCAACTCAACTGACGATCCCCAGCCGGGCTCGACAGAGCACCAACTCAACTGACGATCCCCGGCCGTGGCTCGACCCAGCGCCAACTCCATTAACGATCCCCGGCCGGGGCTCGACCCAGCGCCAACTCAACTGACTATCCCCGGCCGTGGCTCGACCCAGCACCAACTCAACTGATGATCCCCGGTCGTGGCTCGACCCAGCGCCAACTCAACTGACAATCCAAGGCCGTGGCTCGGCCCAACACCAACTCAACGTCGCCGGCCGGGCGACAACAGCCAGTTACTGGCAACACATCGCTATACAAGATGCATGTTTGACTTAGAAGTTAAAAATACGTGCCAATTAATCACCGAAGCAAAATTCAGGGGTACTGAAAGCATGTCAGCAGTTTGAGGCAATTGACGTAATTCTAACGAAAACAATGTGTTATCAGCGAATTTACCTTTGGTGACGGAGTTCGCTCCCCAAATGGTATGATGTTCGTTCGTTTGCCACTTGGCTTTTTGTTCTTCTGTGCCTTCTTGATGCTGTGGCCGACGCCTCTGTTGATTGTGCCATTATTGCACGCCTTGCGGCTGGCGAGGCGGGCACGAGTCATACCGGTACACCTGCAGCCGAAATAGCTTCACCAATCTGGGAATAACACACTGGCATTAGCATATAGCGACGCAATATCATTTCAGCTTTATTCATCATTGAGCTGATTTCATGTTCTCTTCCTCGTTGGCTTCGTTCTGTGTTATTTTCTCGCGTTTGCTGGTCGATGGAAGTTAGCTGACCAGCTGGTCAGGTATTGGGGCTTCCCCACGCTTAGGCAACGGTTATACCGTGCAATGATGGAGAAGCTATCTACAATAGTATCATCACCTTTGAAATAAACACGCTTTCATGCACAAAATTTGTTACCGTCATAGGCTCCCGAAGGACGTGGATTCGCTCTTGGAAACGTCTGTTTGGCACGACCTATTTGTCAAAAAAAGAAAGCTAAAGCACCTCATACGCACGTGTTCATGTGATGCTCTAACCAGATACCACACCCAGCGACTTTTTTATGTTCAAAACTCGTTCGCCGAAGGGCTAGGAAGATCGCATATTAGACGTGCCGCAACCAAAGCAATGTTTGCAAGTCCTGATGACCCATAGGAGCATCAAGAAAAGTATCTTGGACCCGCGGCTCCGCCATCCCGACCACAGCATCGGTGCCCGCTTTAGCCCGAAGTCACACGACACCAAATTGTCAACCGGTGTGGGTAAGAAACGGAGGAGACTTCGGCATGACTAGGCTGCCAATAGTACATTCTGTGAAGCAGTTTCACAATTGGCCACGACGGATCTGAAGGCCCTAATGACGGACCCAAGAGCATAGCGCAGAATACCCGTGCAATCAGTGATCCAAAACAGCAAGTGAAATCGCCGGAGGTAGGGGGCCTGTAAGGACCTGTAACTGTGCTTATGTTATCATCAAATGTTATCATTATAACATTGTCTTCCAATGATCTTCAAATGTTATCATCAAGTGCGGTAAGCACTTAATCTCCATGACTTTCAGTTGGCCACATGACAACTGAAGAGTACCAGGTTTCTTGTAAAATTGCCTTTTTGATCTATCTGAATTGTCAGTTGAATGGCTATGCCCCAACTATTCCACAAGTCATTTGTGCTGCATGTGTTGACACCGGTGGTGGTAATTCCTTCACCAGAAAAAATCTGAACAAAAGTTGGTTCCATACAAAAACCTGATTTGAAATTCACACTTTTAAGTTAAGAATACATTTAACATGACATTGTGAAAAATGGGTTTTCAATTGGCACACATGGGCATCACCAAATGCACTGCTTATGCAGGTTCCCAATAAACATTCTACCATTGAGGCTGTGCCAAACTCAAGGCACTCTAATTATGACCCCTAATTATGTCCCAAAACCCCAAGACCCCTAATTATGTCAGCTGGTAAGCCTATGTGGCTACAAGTGGCTGGAAAGAGCAATTATAGTAGAACACCACCAGTATAAAGTACAACATATGTAGGCAATTACCTGGTCACAATATGAAGCCATTAACTGGGACTGATGACAAATGAAAGGGTGCTTTGGTGTTACTTTATATAAAAATACCAATTCATTCTCTCTGTATCAAGTCACTTTACAGTATTTGGGGTCTAGAAGTCATCTCTGTAAACTCTGTTCTAATGAAGCTCCCAATGATAGGACAAGACAAGGACAAGTCTCAGCTTGGAAAGGAGCATAAAATGGTGATCTTATGAAGGCTACGCTCAGCCCTAAGCTGACTGCGGGATGCAGAGTACAATCAAGTTGGTAGAAGGAGGGGGCTGCAGTCAATGATGGCTTACCTGCAAATGTCTTGAAAGCCAAAAATGATGCAAAGTTTGACTGGCCACAACATGTAGTTGATGCCATTGTATTTATAAAAATTGATCTAAGATCAGCCCAACCACATACACATAT